TGGGAACAGTGCCTGATTTACTTGGACGATGTGATAGTGTTCAGTAGATCTTTGTCTGAGCATTGGTCCAGGCTTCGAGAGGTGTTCCAGCGACTGCGAGCGGCTCATCTCAAGCTCAAGCCACGTAAGTGTTACATCGCACAACGCGAGGTGGGGTACCTCGGGCATCGCGTCAGCGAGGCAGGCGTGCACACCGATCCGGAGAAGGTACGCGCCGTAGTGGAGTGGCCACGGCCAAGGAATCTGACGGAGATCAGATCATTTTTGGGGCTCGCCACCTATTATCGTCGATTTGTAAAGGGATTCAGCGAGATTGCACGCCCCCTCACCCAACTCACCTCCCCTAAGCACCCCTATCAGTGGACGGGGGCCTGCCAGACGGCCTTCACCACTCTCAAAGATCACCTCACCCACGCCCCCACCCTCGCTTTCCCCGATTTTACCACCGATTTTATTTTGGACACCGACGCCAGCAGCAGCGGGCTGGGCGCGGTGTTGTCACAAGTACAGGATGGGACGGAACGAGTCATCGCGTACGCCAGCCGGACCTTGAGTGGGGCCGAGCTGAACTATTGCGTGACCCGCCAAGAGTTGTACGCCGTGATTTTCGCATGCAAACAGTTCCGGCCGTATTTGTACGGCAGGAGATGTCGCGTACGCACTGACCATTATGCTCTGCAGTTTCTTCTTACATTCAAGGAGCCGCGGGGGCAGATGGCCCGGTGGTTGGCGCAGTTGCAGGAGTACAACCTGCAAATCGAGTATCGGGCTGGCCGGACGCATGCAAACGCGGACGCCTTGTCGAGGCGACCCACGGTGTACGCCGAGACGAGGGCGGAGGAAGCCTGCCCGTGTTTCACGGGGGGACGCTGCCGGCAGGCAACGGACCCCCGAGAGGCCGCGGCCACTGACCCCCCCCCAGCGAGAGAGAGTGCTGTGTGCGCCACAGAGACCCTCACAGGTGGCACTGAGGATCCCGTCGACCGCCCGGCAAGCGCGGGACCCGCGGCTCGGGACCCGATCGGACGGATCCAGGAGGACGTCGGCTGCGCCTTCCCGGGCCTAAACGACGAGCAGCTGAGACAGACCCAGCAGCGAGATCCGGATCTGGCGGCGGTGGAGGCGGCACTGCGGGAGGAAAAGAGCGCCCTACCAGGACCCTGGAGCGGTTTGTATGCCCGGTTGTGTGTGCAGAACGGAGTGGTACGGGAGTTAACCGAGGCCGGCCAGCCGGGGTGCATCTGTGTTCCTGCCCAGGTGCGACCCCAGCTGCTACGGCTGGTGCATGACCACCCACTCGGGGGCCACGATGGGGAACGACGTACTCGAGAGACCCTGCGTCGCCAGTATCTCTGGCCCAAATTGGCACAAGACGTGGCGGCCTGGGTACAGGGCTGCCGCGCCTGTCAGCAGTGCGGGCCGAAACCGGCACGATACCAGGTACCCCTAAGGCCGTTCCGCGTCAGCCGCACGAATCAGCTGGTCGGGATCGACCTACAGGGGCCATTCCCGCGATCCCATCGAGGCAACCGATATATCCTAGTCGCAGTAGAGTATTTCACCCGCTACCCCGTGGCAGTGGCCATCCCTGATAAAACGGCCTTGGTGGTGGCCCGGGCATTTGTGGAACACTACGTACTTAAGCACGGGATCCCAGAACGAGTCCTCATCGACCAGGGTAGCGAGTTCGAGGCCGAGTTGTTCCAGGCACTGTGCCGAGAGTTCGGAATCCAGAAGGACCGAACCACAGCGTACCACCCCCAGGCGAACGGTATGGTGGAGCGCATGAATCAGACCTTAGCGGGGAAACTCAAACGTATGGCGGCCGCAAATCAACGGGATTGGGACGAACACCTCCCCTATGCCCTTTTCGCCTACGCCACCACCGTACACACGTCGACGGGACAAACCCCGTTTTTAATGATGTTCGGCCGTGAGTCTCGTTTACCCGCAGATCTGCTATTCGGCGTCCCTTCCCCCCAGCCGGAGGAGGGAAGCCGCCCCGTGGAACACCTGTTGGAGACCCTGCGAGAAGCCCGAGGCCTAGCATACCCGCAAGGGGAAGCCGCGCATCGGCGGCAGGAACAGGGCACCCGACCCCGCATGGAACCCCCCTTATTCCTGACAGGCGCTAAGGTGTGGCAACACACCCCTCGCGTCGGGGCCGGGCAGGTGGGGAAACTGACGACCTACTGGCGGGGACCCTGGACCGTGGTGCGACAGATCTCCCCCTGGACAGTACTAATTGATGGCGGGGAGGGGGGTCGAGAGACGGTGGTCAATGTCCGCCGCTTAAAACCATGGAAAGCGGCCCCGGCGGGAGAGAACCCCGTCACCCGAAGGCCCCGAAATCCCGGAGTACCCGCACCCCTCGTGTTGGGGGGCCTCGCACACTACATGGGCCCCGCCGGGCCCCCGAGACGCCCCGATCCAGTCCGGAGACGGCGCGGACGACGGCCGCTAAACCCTTCCGCTGCTGAGTTTGTGCCCCAGCCCACAGGTGCCGGAGGACGGGGAGAGCTGCTGGAGTGGAGGAGGAGACCGCCGCAGGAGCTACAGAGGACGGAACCACCCGCCCCGAGGCCAGCCACCAGGTCCGGACGGATCCCCCGGACACCGAAACGTTTCCTCGTGGGCGCGGCCCAAGCGAGGTGCTCCAGTCAACCCGGGACGGGGACTGGCACCTCGGGGGGCTATGTGATGCCGCCGCCGCGAAGCCGTTCGGCAGGCACCAAATCCCCGACCTCGCCACCAAGCAACGGAGCCGACCCCGCGTCCCCCTCACCTCACCTCACATGAACACACCCGCACTCATTTCCCCCCCCCCATAGAGCTCCGAGGGGAGGTCGCCTGGCCGACCGGTTTTTATCCGAGAGACCCTTATCAGGATTAATTCTCACGGTTTCCGGCGATCAGGGAATTGGATGACCTCCCCCGTGCTACGTGGCACCGCGGCGCTGCGGCCGGCCTTAATATGGTGTGGTCGCGGCGTGGGGCATTCGGCCACCGCGGTTGAGGCGCATTTCCCCCCACACACACCCCCACGGGTCGACGGGGCAAGCAGGGGAGGCACGGGACAGCATGAATAGCGGGATCACAGGGGCTGTTGCGCATAGTCATGGAGGGTTGGGATAATTGCGCTTGAGCGCGCAGGCCCCATTGTTAGGGAGGGTAAGGGATTAATTAGGATTTACGCCTTGCACGCAGCACACTGATTAGCATATCAACAGCGCCCAGAACCGCCGTGCGCGTGCCAGAGGATCGCGAGCCCATTGTTCAGCGCAGCATCCCCTTTGAGGTAGGGAGGATAAATAGAGGGGCGCAGAGGGGGAATCGCTCTCTTCTCTCCAGGCCAGCAGACCAGCAGCAGCTCCAGCCAGCGACCCGGACGTCCGTGAGACGCATCGAGGTACGTTGTTAGCGCAGGGAGCAGCGAACCTCCGCGGGCGCCAAACAGGGAGTGGGGAGGTGAAGTAGGATAATAGTCGATAAATAGGGAATAGGTGCCGGTTTAGTGGAATAGGCCAGCCTCGTCGACTCACTGATTGAACATTAGTTACCAGGTAATAAATCATTAATAGCGAAGCGTGGTCTCGCGTGATCTTGTCGTGCAGTGTGAGCGTGTGGGAACGCGTGTGGTACTGTGTGTGCGTAAGCTCGCAGCGTGCGTAATCGGCGTACCCCAGGTGCGCGATCATAACGTAAGCGGCCAGCAGACGGCGAGCGCTGCGCAGAGCGGCGCAAGAGTGGGTATCGCGTGTGGAGCTGTATGCGTGTGTGCGCGCACGTTCACTACGTGTATAATACAGGTGCGCGATCCTAACGTGAGTGGTCTGTATTGAGTGAGTGCCGCGCAGAGCTGTGTGTGGGTGTGCGCGTACGTAATTAACCATGCCTATTACGCGGACCCGCGGGGGAGGGGAATCCTCGAGCGACGGCTCTCACCCCATGGGTGAAGAACCCAACAGCGGTTCGCCTAGTAGCGAGGGGGCGAGTAATGAGGTTAATAATGAGGTTAACCCGGCCGTTAGCGGTACAGAGGGAGGGATCTCGGAGGCCAGCGACCCCCACAGAACACACAAACTCCACTCACTCTGTAGAATAGGAGTAGAACACACAAACTCCACTCACTTTGTAGAACAGGGGTAGAACACACAAACTCCACTCACTCTGTAGAATAGGAGTAGAACACACAAACTCCACTCACTTTGTAGAACAGGGGTAGAACACACAAACTCCACTAACTCACTCTGTAGAACAGGGGTAGAGAACACACAAACTCCACTCATTCACTCTGTAGAACAGGGGTAGAACACACAAATTCCACTCCCTCACTCTGTAGAACAGGGGTAGATCATACAAACTCCACTCATTCACTCTGTAGAACAGGGGTAGAACACACAAACTCCACTCACTCACTCTGTAGAACAGGGGTAGATCACACAAACTCCACTCATTCACTCTGTAGAACAGGGGTAAAACACACAAACTCCACTCACTCACTCTGTAGAACAGGGGTAGATCACACAAACTCCACTCACTCACTCTGTAGAACAGGGGTAGCACACACAAACTCCACTCATTCACTCTGTAGAACAGGGGTAGAACACACAAACTCCACTCACTCACTCTGTAGAACAGGGGTAGATCACACAAACTCCACTCAACAGGGGTAGAACACACAAACTCCACTCACTCTGTAGAACAGGGGTAGATCACACAAACTCCACTCACTCACTCTGTAGAACAGGGGTAGAACACACAAACTCCACTCACTCTGTAGAACAGGGGTAGAACACACAAACTCCACTCATTCACTCTGAGTGGGGTTTGTGTGTTCTACACTCTGCAGAACAGGGGTAGAACACACAAACTCCACTCACTCATCACCACCGTCACCACGTCACCACCGTCACCACCGTCGCCACCATCACCACCGTCCCTGTCACCACCGTCCCTGTCACCACCGTCACCACCGTCCCCACCGCGCTGCGCCCCACCGTTGTGGCCGGCGCCGTGTGCGCAGTACGCCCGCTGGTGCTCCACGAGGGTGCGCCGGTGCTTGAAGCCCTTGCCGCAGCCCTCGCACTGGAACTCGCGCACGTCGCTGTGCGAGCGCCGATGGTGCACCAGGTTCTGGGACCAACGGAACGCCTTGCCGCACTCCTGCACACGTGCAGAGAGACACGGGGAGGGGACGGAGAGATGATGGGGGAGAGGAGAGCCGGAGAAATGGAGAGAGCCGGAGAAAGGGAGAGATGGAGAGATGGAGAGAAATGGAGAGAGATGGAGAGAGACACGGAGGCAGGCAGACAGACAGAGCGACAGCGAAGCGATCTCTTCTGATCAATGAGAAAGCCGAGTGGGAGAATGAGCGTGCAACTGTGCAGGTGTGCAACTGTGTGTGACTGTGTGTGTGTGTGTGTGACTGAGTGTGTGTGACTGAGTGTGTGTGACTGTGTGTGTGTGCAACTGAGTGTGTGTGACTGTGTGTGTGTGTGACTGTGTGTGTGTGTGACTGTGTGTGTGTGTGACTGTGAGTGTGTGTGACTGAGTGAGTGTGACTGTGAGTGTGTGTGACTGAGTGTGAGTGTGACTGTGTGTGAGTGTGACTGTGTGTGTGTGTGACTGTGTGTGTGTGTGACTGTGTGTGTGACTGTGTGTGTGTGACTGTGTGTGTGACTGTGTGTGTGTGTGACTGTGTGTGTGTGTGACTGTGTGTGTGTGTGACTGTGTGTGTGTGTGACTGTGTGTGTGTGTGACTGTGTGTGTGTGTGACTGTGTGTGTGTGACTGTGTGTGCCTGTGTGTGTGTGTGTGCCTGTGTGTGTGTGTGTGCCTGTGTGTGTGTGTGGCTGTGAGTGTGTGTGATTGTGAGTGTGTGTGACTGTGAGTGTGTGTGTGACTGTGAGTGTGTGTGTGACTGTGAGTGTGTGTGTGTGACTGTGTGTGTGTGACTGTGTGTGTGTGACTGTGTGTGTGTGACTGTGTGTGTGTGAGACTGTGTGTGTGTGTGAGACTGTGTGTGTGTGAGACTGTGTGTGTGTGTGAGTGTGTGACCTGGCAGGCGTAGGGCCGCTGCTCCGTGTGGATGATGGCGTGACGGTTGAGGTCGGCCTGCAGCGCGAAGCTCTTGCCGCACGCGCCGCACTTGAGGGGCCGCTCGCCCGTGTGCAGCGTCTGGTGGCGGAACAGGTCGGTGGACTGGCGGAACTCCTTGCCACACTCCTACAAGGGGGGACACACGGACACACACAGATACACAGAGATAGGTACAACAACCGCCATTCGCCACTAAGTGGCGGTGACGTCACCACGACGCTTGTGCCAGGCCATGTGCACCTTGAGGCTATCACGTGAAGTGTCGAACGCCCGCTGGCAGGAGGTCAAGGGGCAGACCCAACAGGTGCCACGGGTCCACTGACCGAGATGACCGAGATGACTGGCTGATGCACCACCTGTGCCCCCTACTGTGCCAACTTGCTGTGCTTTATCCACCCGGCGCTCCGCTCGTTGTTGTGAGCGTCGCTCCTCCGCCCTCTGTTGTTGTTGGAGGGCGACTGCCTCCAACTGCCCAGTAGCGTCCTTCACGAGCCTCCTCCACAGAGGCCGATCTTGACACCGACGGTACCGGTCATCGGCAAGTCCACTCAGCTCCACGTCCTCTTGTACCACATCACTCCATCTCTTCTCCAGCCCATGTCATGCCCGTTGAGGCCAGGCGGTGGTTGGGCATGCGGGCTACGTGACACCGCCAACGCAGCCTTGCCAGCATTGGCTGGCAAGGCCGCGTTGCCTCACCGAGGATTTGCGAGCTCCTCACACGACCCAGCCTGTTCGAACCCAGGATGGATCGTAAGCAAGCCAGCCTGAATACGCACATGAGTAGTGACGTACTAAGTGTCACTCGAGGTCAGCGACAGTGCCAAGTGACAAATGGGACTGTAGGGGCACAGCCCCGGCAACGGTGAGAGAGCGGGCGGGTGAGGACACGGCCCCCCTTGGGTGAACCCGGGCGGACATGTGACCGGACCAGGCGGAAGGGGCCACCCCTTACCCCCCCAAAGGGACACGTGATGGGGAGCCAGAACCCTTGAGAAGATTCTCAAGGGTTCTGGTGCGGAGAAGCAGGCGGGGGTTGTCGTTGTTGCCGTCCCAGGGAATGGAATCTGCCACCAGCCAAGTCTTCGGGCATCGGACAAGCCGTCGCGAGCCGGGCAGCGTGTTAGCGGACCCGGCTCATTATATTGTATCGTGTTCCCGTGTGTAGTTACGTAGTGTAGACTTGCCCGTTGTGTTAGTCAATAAAACGTTGTTGCCTCCAGATCAAAGTGTGCCCCTCAATAGAACCCACTCACTACACATGGACACTGGCAAAGAGACGCACAGACACGAAGAGATAGACACACAAACACACGGATACACACACACACACGAATACAGACGTAAATATAAACACACAAAGACGCCTCCATAATGTACCTCTGTGTAGTGGGGCAAG